CCTCTAGATAGTAATCTTCTATCATAAACCTATAAAAAAAAAACTTGTTAGGATTTATAGTTAGTTTTTGAAATGGGGTATACTAGGTAGGAGAGATTGAAACTCCAAAAATTATTACACATCGTTATTTATTGGTACAATATTTTTCATTATTCATACAAATCTCTGAGTATTTGAATATAGTAACCTTCATCATAGATATTCACTCACAAAAACTAGAAAATTTCAACAGAAATTGCATTACAGTATATGACAGTATGTAACAGAAAATTGGATTAGAAATTTCGAACAGAATGATAATATAATTATTGCTGTGAGCTTAAAAAAGCTTTTCGGGCGATTGATAGAAACTAGAAAGAAACTTGTGATGTGACATCAAATAATGATACTTTAAATTTGTTTTTTTGTGTGTAACGTTGAAACTATTTGTTACTTGTTTACGAAGATTCGTTACAGAATGCTTATTTGGCCGCCAGAATTTATCAGGAAAAAATGTCCTGATAGAAGGGCACCTAACAAAAAAACATTTCATGTTGGACGGCGATGTTGACCATGTTTCTATGACCAGTATATTCATTTCTAGAATTTTATGTTTGGGCTTTTTTATGCTTAGAAAGGACCTTGTTTTTGAGTCTCATCATAAATTTTTAATTAGGGGTTTTATTACAGGGCAAAGTTTACTCCAGGGTGCTGTTTTTTTTGTGTGATTCTACAGGTCTTGGAAAGAGTATGTAAATTGAATAATTGAAGTATTTGACGATTTAAGAAATTTATTTTATCATCAAATGTTGTTATTTGATATATACGACGAGAAATTCCGACATGTTTCAGAAAAAGATGTTACTCTTGTTGATTTAAAAGTGATAGGATGCATATCGATCACCCCGATGCTAGATACAATATCTTTTGTAGAAGGGATGATTAGGTCATTTAATGATTGAGCTATATTAATGGTGGTTTGATTTAAAAAATGTACGGTAAAATCCCCCTTAATAATGACATTATCGAATCAGGCTAGTTAAACTATTCTCAAAATGAACTTTGCTCTAGTGGTCTGTCCAAGGATCCAAAACATATTTTATATCCGATCTATTTTAGTGGTCAATCAAAGCTGTTCTTTTTTCCAATATTTAAAATTTTATAATCAATCTCTTCCCTTATATAGAAAACAACTCCTCCACCTTAGCCTCTTGACAATACTGTACCCATTTATTTTTAGATCATGACCGTTAGTAACCAGGTTTTCGATAGCCCGACAATGTCGAATGTTTCCCCCCACAATAACAACCAAGACAGTTTTAAGTATACAGGGTGCATCAGAAAAGTGTAACGGAGCGATGTTATATTCTTTTAAATGGAACACCATGTACTTATTTGTTAGTCCTTTAACTTGATTTCAACGATATATGGTTTGATATGTCTATCTTCAATAGTTATAGGAAAAAACATGGAAACCACTTTCAAGGTCACATGTTGAAAATAAAAATTATACCATTTATAATAAATCCAGATGTCTTAAGCTATATCAAACTTGTTTAAAAACTAAGTAGTAATAATGTTAGATATAATGTAAATGAGTAATGTGTTGTATGTAACATTTAAAAAAATGTAAAAAAATTGCTGCGACTAATTCAACTGAATTGTGACGTTTCTTCTCGTTTGTGAAAACCTAAACTTGAATGCGACTTTGAAACCGATAATGACCTTTCTTCCCGATTGTGAAAACGTAAAACTTATACTTGAATGGGACTTTAAAACCAATGGTGACCTGGCACCAAATAGCTTTGCTTCTGTGCGTAATTGTTAATTTATTTGTACATTTATAATATCTTGTTGAATTTATTATTATTATTTTGATAAATAAACTATCATTTATCTATTTATTTTATTTTTATTCAATCGGCTTTTACTTGGCGGAAATCCATTATTTAATAAAAGATTTTTTAAGTAAATTTACTTAAAAAATCTTTTATTAGATTATTTATTTTATTATTGAAAAAAAAAAATAATAACATGAGAAAAGGATTTTCGCGTTTTTCCCTATAAGTATTGAACATAAACCGAGAGAAGAACATATCCAACCGTATATCGTTGAAATCAGGTTGGAGGAGACTGATAAATAAGCTCACCATATACATAGACTTCCATTTAAAAAAATACAAATTCGCTCTGCTACAATTTTTTGACGCACCCTGTATGCTTTTAACTGACTGACAGAACCATCAGTTGAAAGCTTTTGACAATTTCTCGATTTTTTTTTATTTCACTGACTTCTGTCAAAAACCTCAAATGAATAAGTTTGGAGGGGGTGACATTTATAATAGATCACTTTATACTCTGGTCAAGTACATGTTTCCCCCAAAGAATTTTAAAATAATATATATCTAACCGACATAATAAAAAAATTAAGAAAAGGTAAACTAAGAGTAATTTTAAAAAAATATGAAAAAATCAGTTTTGCCTTGCAAAGAAGTGGGTAATTTGAATGAAAAATATTAATTTATAAACGATAGGCACACAAACTACATTAAAATTTACACTTATCCGAATGTTGTTTCAAATTAGCCTTGGTTCTAAATTTAGCGTTGCATATGTTGCATTTAAAGTTCTTCTCATTCGAGTGTGTTAACATGTGTCTCTTCAAAGTGCATTTGTGTTTAAATTTTGCTTTGCAAGTGTCACATGCAAAAGGAAAAATACCCGAATGTGTTACAATGTGATCCTTTAAAGTAGATTTTCGTTTAAATTTTACTTTGCAAATGTCACATTCAAAGGGATAAATATCAGAATGTATTATCATGTGACTCCTCAAATAGTCTTTTAGTTTGAATTTTGCTTTGCAAGTGTCACATTCGAAAGGATAAATATCTAAGTGCGTCGATAGGTGAGTCTTCAGATGGGCTTTTAGGTTAAATTTTACTTTACAAGTGTTACATTCAAAAGGATAAATATTTAAGTGTCTTGACATGTGAGACCTCAAATTACTTTTTTGCTTGAAGGTTGCTTCACAAGTATTACATTTGAAAGGATAAATATCGGGGTGTGCTAATTTATGATCGTTGAAATCGGTTTTTTGTTTGAATTTTGCTTTGCAAGTGCCACATTCAAAAGGATACATATTCGAATGTGTGACACTTGAATATTCCAGTCCTTTGATCTCTTCATCTGGATCTATCAGTTCAGTAGCTGATACTTCTATTTCGTTTTCGATGTCATCCTCTAGATAATCATTTTCTATCATAAACCTAACAAAAATCATTTGTTTAGATTTATAGTTAGATTTTGAAATTGGGAACATTGGGTAGGTGAATTTGAAACTCCAAAAATTATTATGCATCGTAATTTATTGGTACAATATATTTCTTTATTCATGAAAATTATAAAAATCATGAAAAAAATATGGAAAACTATTCAGGAAGCTTATAATGAGTACCGTGATTTATCTAGTGTTAAGTGCATTAAAAAAGACAATGGACAGGCTGTCTCTGACACTGAAGAGATTGCCAATGAATTTAATTCCTTTTCTAGCTCTATTGGTGCAAAACTTGAACAACAAATTATACCAACCCAACAAAAATATGAGACTATTCGCCATCATTCTATGTTTTTGAGACCAGTTAGTGAATCAGAACTAATTTATGTCATAAGCTCGTTAAAAAATACAAATACTTGCGGAGATGATGGTATTACCTCTAAAATAATAAAAAACTATCACGCTTACCTCACCAAACCTTTACTACAGGTTGTTATCCAAAAATATTTAAGAAAAACTCATAATAATACCTATTCATGAATCAGGCGACAAGACTGATAAAAACAACTATAAGCCAATAGCCCTGTGCAATGTATTTAGCAAAATTGTAAAAAAATGTATTTTAGGCCGCAACAACGATAAGAATGCAGTGCTCTGATTGGTTGATTTTTCGAAACTTATTTTAAGGTCTTGAAAAAAACGGGACATCAGAATGGCAGCAAATATCCAGTTAAGTTCCCCAAAATTTTGTAGAGGGCGCGAGTGAACTTAGAATGCTTTCAATTTTGGCGGCAAATAACCACGAAAAACTAGAAAGAGCTAATTGCAGATATTGTAGATAATATATCAAATAATGTTTATGCCAAAGGATTTTGGAAATTCTTGCGGATTTTTTGAGATGACCTTGAAATGAATTTTAAAGGTGAAAACAGTTCAAGCAATTTCAAGTAGATAACGCTACGGCAAAAAAGCTACATTGGGAGCATCATAATTGTATATTTGTCTTTCTCTTTCACCAAGTGTTTCACCGACAGACAGATTTTGTTTTGGACAAAAAATAAAATATTGAACCGTATGTGTAGAGTGGCGCAGACGTCATCTTCAAAATAGTTATTTGTGTACCAAGGCCGTAAAGTTGATCTTTTTTGGACGAATCAGAAATTTGCGGCCGAGGCGCAGCCGAGGTCAAGCAAATTTCAGGTGAGGCCAAAAAAGATCATTCGGCCGAGGTGCACACAAAATTTTTTAGGCGAGTGTTTGTTCTTGAAAAAAGAATAAAATTCAACAGTAGCTTTAAACTTTATTGATCAAATTAATAATCCAGCAAAGATAGGTAGATACACAATTATTAATAACAAAAACTTCGGTAAAGAGAGTGTGATTATAGAAAAAATTGTTTATTTTCACCAAAGTAGCGGCCGTAAAGTAAAAGCGGCCGTGAAGTAAAAGCGGCCGTGAAGTAAAAGCGGCCGTAAATTAATAAAGCAAATGCGGCCGTGAAGTGAATGCGGCCGTAAAGTAAATGCGGCCAAAAAAGATATACTTTAGGGATGATATTGAATCCGTAAAACTAATCTTTTTGTAACAGTCGCCTAAAAACTAAATTGAAACATGGCAGCCATGAACGCGGCCTTAATAAAAATGGATAATGGACAATGTTGGAAACGTCATATAAATCAAATCTTTCAAATGGAAAAATAAACTTTGATTAAACTTTATTAAATGACTTGCCTTATTATTCTTACAGTTCTCCAAATTTACCTGGAAGTGACGTGGTATTGCCTGAAATTTTAAGTTCCTCATCTCCTACTTCAGTTGAGAGGGAAAGCAGTGAAAGGTCAATTGCCGAATCTGATGTGTTATTATTACCCTCCATGCAAACTCTTGTGAGTGGACAAAATTCTTTCCAAGAAAATGTTATCACCACACCTGTCAAAACCGAATCGAATTGTGCCAAGTTTAATAATTTCCAATTATATCATTAACTCTTGTTTATATGAGAGAAATGTTGGGTTAGATTTATCTTTATTACCTTTATATACCTACCTTTGTACCTTGCTAAAGTTATCAGTAGTTTCAGTTTTTTAGTTGTTGTCAGGGAATGATTATTATTAAAAAATTATTGAAGCACAAAGGAATAATCATTTATAAGTTATTTCCTACTGAAATTTATTATTAGATACATAATATTTTGTCTTGTCTGAATAGGTAACCAAATTTTTGTTGCAATTTTGTCTCAAAATCGTGTTTACTGTTTGTCTATTTGGTCTGGACCCAGCATTAGCTCAATATTTGACACTTCTATTTCTATTTTGATGCTTAATACATCCATTATTTAGCATAAACCTGAAAATGTTTGTTATGCCGGATCCAGACCAAGCAGACAAAACAGCGACAAGACACAGATGTTCATGTTTCGCGACAAATTCAATCACTACATATATGCGAAATTTTTGTTTTGTTTCCAAATCCAGAGCCTTTAGCAAGTCCCGTCTCGAGTGGGTAAACATCAGAGAGTCTCTCTCTGTTTTTTCTGTGTTTTTTAGGACAAAATGTTGGTGCAGCGTGGCCGGTATTTGTTGGCAGAAGTAGGAGGGCTGGCAATAATTCTTGATATTCATCCTGGTGGAAATGGTTAAGAAGTTGATCCAAAACAACATTGCCTTTTTGTTTAAACTTTGCATTGCAAATGTCACATACAAAAGGAAAAATATCCGAGTGTGTTAACATATGATTCTTCAAATTCCCTTTCCGTTTAAATTTTGCTCATCCATCAACATCCCATCTATTAAATTTTTTATCCGCTCAACGACGTAGCCGCAATCGAACACCGGAGTTATTAAATGTACACCCTGTATATTTCCTAAGTTTTTATCTACACTTATTTTTTGTTCTTTGAATTTCATCAAACTATAAATTACATTAAAATTTACACCTATCTGAATGTCGTTTCAAATTAGCCTTGGTTTTAAATTTAGTGTTGCACATATTGCATGTAAAGTTTTTCTCATCCGAGTGTGTAGACATGTGTCTCTTTAAATTGCTTTTCTGTTTAAATTTTGCTTCGCAAGTGTCACATTCGAAAGGAAAAATATCTAAGTGTGTTAATAAGTGAATCTTCAAATTGCCTTTTCGTTTAAATTTTACTTTACAAATATCACATTCAAAAGAATCAATATTCGTGTGTGTTAAAATGTGAAGCTTTAAACTTTCTTTCCGTTTAAATTTCACTTTGCAAGTGTCACATTCGAAAGGTTGAATATCCGAATGTTTTACTATGTGACTCTTCAAATTCCACTTTCGTTTGAACTTTGCTTCACAAATGTCACATTTAAAAGGATAAATTTCCGAGTGTGTTAATTTGTGACTGTTCAAATCCGATTTTCGTGTAAATTTTGCTTTGCAAGTGTCACATTCAAGAGGAAAAATATCCAAGTGTGTTAAAATGTGATCCCTTAAAGTCACTTTTCGTTTAAATTTTGCTTTGCAAGTGTCACATTCAAAAGGATGAATATCCGAATGCCGTAATATTATGTGACTTCTCAAATAGCCTTTCAGTTTAAATTTTGCTTTGCAAGTGTCACATTCAAAAGGATGAATATCCGAATGCCGTGTTATTATGTGTCTTTTCAAATAGTCTTTCAGTTTAAATTTTGCTTTGCACGTGTCACATTCAAAAGGATTAATATCTGAATGTGTTAATATGTGATTCTTTAAATCAGTTTTTCGTTTAAACTTGGCTTTGCATGTCTCACATTCGAAAGGATAAATATCTAAGTGTATTAATAGGTGAGTCTTCAAATGACCTTTTTGTTTAAATTTTGCTTTGCAAGTGTAACATTTGAAAGGACGAATATCTGAATGTGACATTGAATGATATTTTAAACTTGTTTCGGTTTCAAATACATCATTGCAAATATAGCATTGGAACTTATTAATAACATCTGGTGCTGATGAATTTGTGACACTTGAATATTTCTCATCCTTTACCCCTTGATCTATCAGTTCAATAGCTGATACTTCTATCTCGTTTTTGATGTCATCCTCTAGATAATAATTTTCTATCATTAACCTAAAAAAAAAACGTTTTTTAGATTCGTATATGTACTTAGTTAGATTTCGAAATTAGGTACACTAGGTAGGTGAGATTAAAATTAAAAAAAAAATAATGCACAATACACATTGTAATTTATTGGTACAATATTTTCCATCACTCATAAAAATCTATTAGTTATTAGTTTACTCATATGTAGTAGCCATCATCATAGATATTCACTCATACCAACAACCAGAAATTACAATGCAGTATATGGCAGTATATGAGATTTCAATCCTTGTGATAAAGAAAGGCCTCTGGAACTATTGATCTAAACAGAATTATGGACAACTTTGTCAATGTGACTTCGGACGGAGTTTTCTCGTCAGAAATAGTTTTCTAATGTTGATTTTTATTCAATAATAGGCGTGTTCTTTCTACGGTTTGTCTCATCTGATTTTGAAATGGAGGGAGATGAAGTTATCTGAGTAAATCATATGTGAGTAAGTAAGTAAGTGAAGTGAGATGAGATTAAGTGAGATCCTCGGTAAAAATGACATATGACTATTATGTAAAGTTCATTTTATAAAGGTTTGTTCTTATGACATCGATGATGTCATACATCGGAAAAAAAAGGTATTGTCAAGGCTTTGGGTTGCCTGTCAGAAATCTTGGGTTCGTCGTCCGTTTCGTTTATTCCAAAAAATCAAAGTCCAATTAACACAGCAATAATTTATTCCACTTAACAAAACACTCTGACACTAATTACTTTATTAACAAACTCAACAATTAAACTCTTTACAATCACTATTTAAATCGTATCACAGTCGAACTGAAACTAAACTTACAAACCAATGCTGGCCTTCTTATATATCCCTAAATCTCTTCCTGTAAAATCTAGAATACACACGATAATCTAATTTTCCAGATAAAAGTAGAATAATTCGCTAGATTCTAGTATCGATTCTTGACAGCCTGGCGGACGATATCGTGACAGTATGTACTGTGATAGCGTTCAGATTTTGAATTGAAATTTTTAACCTAGAATAGAGTTCGTTCGAGTTATCCGAAAATACATAAATTAATCAACTGCGTAGGTATTCGTATTTATATATCGCGGGACCAAAATAGTAATTTTAAACCCGAAGGTAAAGTTTATTTTTATTCAAGCGTTTTTTGACACATTCAATTTTTTTGACAAATTCATTGCATGTTTTCTGGTTTTGAGAACCGACGAACGTTTTTAACGTCATTTATTTTTTTTTAGTTAATTTTCATTTGTTAAAAAAAGAAGGCAAATGATGCATAAGTACAAACTTTCGTGAAACAAACAATATACTTGTTTATTTTTTTGAATGTGCCAATATTATCATTTCAAGTATTCTGTAATTATGTCAAGTTCGTTTTATATTTTTTATACAGGGTTGACGTTATGTATGGAAACAAACTAATATTTTAAAACGCGTTTCGGAAGAATGTACATACCATATTTTCTACTGGGAGTTTTTGGTAATGCCCGATTCAATGGTGGTATTTGCACTGTTGCCAACTTTACCGTTTCTGAAATGTCGTATGTAACTTGACATGTAAGTTCTTCTTTATATTTACCGTAATTAATTCAGCGTCGCAACATCACTAGAACCGCTAAATGCCAAACCGCCATTTGACTTAGTTTTTGAAATATGGCAACACAGCTTTTCTGTTGAAATGTAAGGTTACGGTCTCGTATTCAAAAACTGACTAGTAAACTATGCTAGCACCACAGTAAACAAGTTTTATAGCTGTAAATTCCAACAACGAAATTCCAGTTGAAGTGTAATCTCCGAGCTAAAGGCATCATCTATGGGGTCATAGAGATGGATCTTCAATCAAACCAAATGATCCGTTAATTCGAGAATTAGAAATTTGGAATAGAAAACATGCGCTAGCAATGTTTATTCTTACCTCAGCTATGAAACTCAATCAGATAACTTTAGTTACATGTTGTGAGTTTACTAAAGACATGCATGATGCAAATATTAGAGTCTATTGTTGAAAAAAAGTCTGAGGCTGACAATATGATGTTACATCATTATAAAATAAATTCCTCAGATAGTGTATAGCTCAACATATTGCAAAAGTACAAAATTTGGCAAAACAAATCAAGGATGCAAGTGATCATATAATAAGGTTGCAGTAATGACAAATATTTTAAGTACGTTGCCTCAAAAATTTGAAAATGTTAGAGGTTGTCACTTGAAAGTTCAAAACAAACAATAAGTTACTTGAAAGCAAGATTTTTAGATCAAGAAAGTAACCTTACATCCTATGAAGAAGCCGAACGTGCCTTAGGAGCCCTCTCTGTTAAAACAGAGAGCACAGAAGAGAAGGGAAATAGCTTGTATTAATTGCAGAAAAAGAGGTTACATATCACGAAAGCTTCAGGAAAACACATCTTTTAACTCTAACAACAGAGGAAAACCGAATCAAAGGGTTGACATTTTTCGATTTATTTTGATCGACTTCGTATAGGAATCGATATTTCGATGATTAAAATCTGCCATAGTTACTCTGTTTCTGGATATTAGATTCCAATATTTGAAAGCTTCAGTTCATTTAAATTTCACTTCACAAAGGTTACATTTGAAAAGATAAAAATCCAAATGTAGTGATATGTTATTCTTCAAATCAAAGTAACACATTAGAAAGGATAAATATCAAATGTGAATCTTCAATTCGCCTTTTCGTTCAAATTCTGCTGGGCAAATGTTACATTCAAAAGGATGAATATCCGAATTTGTTATTATTGGACTCTTTAATTGATCTATTTGTTTAAATTTTGCTTTGCAAGTGTTACATTCAAAAGGACGAACATCTGAATGCGACATCAAATGATATTTTTAATTTGATTTTTTTGCAATTATTGTAATATTGAAATTTCGTAACAACATCTTTTGACTATTTCTCTCA